CCTGTTACCCTCCTGCTCAGGCTGAGGAACCCTGACCCTTACCGATCATGCCGTTGACTGTGCCAAAGAGAACCGAGCCCTGTGTTGGCGTGGACGTCTCGCCCAGGTTCTGCATGACCAGAGACCCATGACAGAAGACATTAACGAACTCTCCCAGGTGGGACAGCCCCACCTCCTGCAAGTGTTGGCGCTCCTCATCGGTCGTGGCCGCACTGAAATCCAAAGCACCCTGCTCAGTCTGTGCTGGGGTGACATAAAAGCTGCCCCTGCTCCCACCTCACTGCTCCTCAGAGCTGGGCACGCTCCTCCCAGCTTTCCTGCCTGACGCACAGCCCTCTGTAGCTGTAATGTGGAGGAGAGCAGGAGGTCCTATCACGCCATCCCTCCCGTCACACATTGCTACATCCCCCTTATGGCCAGCTCACCTGTCCTTCTGGCACACAAACAAATTGAAAGCGTTCTCTGCTCCCAAGAAGTTGTCATCGTCCAGGATCTCCACGGCACTCATCCAGTTTGGATTGAAGTCCCGGGCAATCTGGAAGGGGAGAAGAGGAGAGGCAGTGTGCACAGATGGTCTGTCCTGCGATCCAGCATCTTCATTCCACCCAACACCAACATTCAGGAGCAAGGTGGGATCCAGTCTGTCCCTCTCTGTGAGACGAAGCAGCTGAGCGCAAAAGGCACCAAGTGCTTTCTGGAGATGGCGCTGGCCCAAGCAGCACTCAGACAATGCCAGGGCACTCCCTGGGCAAACGCAGAGCAGCACGTGCCCAAGCCGGGGACCAAGCCGGGCCCCCCAGCCATTCTAACAGTTTAAGCGCACAGACTGTCTCAGCGCCTGGTCCATCCCGCAGCTATGCTGCGTTTGCTGACAGAGATGCAGCCACAGTCGCACTAAGCCTTTCCAACCGTACGACGGGCAGTCCAGATGGCAGCTCCCCACCCCTGGCAGGCAGCAGTCACGCACCCAAAGCCCGCTCTTCTCAAGGTTGCTGATTCATTGCCCAGTTTCCTGGAAGCCCAGGGATCCGTCCCTCCAGAAACCACAGGGATTTGTCTAAAAGCACGTCCAGGTGACGCTGCTTTCATTGCACAGCCCTACAGCCTTGTCTTCAAAGGGCTAGCAAGGCAGGGTGAGCCAGGCTCCTTCTTCTATCACCTTAAACACTGTTTCCCCCTGCCCAGAACCTACTGGAAGAGGCAGCACGGGCTCCCAGCACACCTTTGAAAAAGACTATTTAACAGCATCCATACCTCCTCGAAGTTTCCTTCCATGGGCTTGTATGCAAGGAGGAGGACAGACCGCATCAGATCTCCCACAAGGATGAAGTCTCCCTTGGTCTTCAGGTAGAGCGCCATGATGTTGTTGTAATGGTTGCACTCTGTGCGCAGCTCCTTCTCCGCTGTCCACTCATACAGGCGCACCTGAAGGAAGGGAGACGGTTCTGAGCCAGCACAGACACCCAGGCCAGCCAAGACACACTCCCCAACAGAGATCGGGGACCTGGCTGACAGGTGGAGCAGCTTCCAGCTCCAAAACACACTCCCAAAACAAGTCAGGGTCTTGCAAGAGCCCTACCGTGCTGTTGATGCTGGCTAACAGCTTCCCGTTGAACTCCACCATGGAATACACAGCCCCTTTGACCTCCTTCTCAGCCAGGCTCTGCAGCTTCCCTGGAATAAAGCCATGCACTGCCCGGTTATTTGCCCTGCACTCCCAAGTGTGGCAAGTCCAGGGGGTTCAGACGAGCTGCTCTAAACAACGTTGCTCTCTCTAGAAGCTGTCTCAGAGGATCTGTGGGCAAGTAGCGCAGGAGCGACATGACAGCGGGGGCAGACACACAGAAAGCAAATCCCAGAATCCAGTTCTGGCGAGGGATTCTTGGGCTTCTCTGGGAGGTGGGGGGAAAGGGAACACGCTGTGATGGTCTGCAGCAGAGTGACAGCACCTACGGATCCTGCCTGTGGGCAGCTGACTGCAGGCCCCTCAGGAAAAACCTCTCTGCCTGCTACTGGGACGTGAGCGCTCTCAGGCCTGAGGAGCTCCTCTCTGATCTCCCCTCAAGCAGCTGGACTTGGCCGTGTGAGAAGACCTTGCTCTTACCGTCAGAGTAGTGGAAGACAACAATGCGGCCCTGTTTGGGCTCTGCCTCCTCGGGATATACCATGGCGGTGCCCACGATGAAATAGGTGTTTGGATCCTTGCCAAGCTTGCAGGAGACCAGGCTGAGGGCGTACTCATTTTGCAGAAACTGGTGAGCATGAAGCACTGTGTAAAGAGGGAAAGGCAGAAACAACTGGGTCCCGTGGGTCGCAGCAGGACACGCCTCCACACGTAGGTGGAGCAGCTTGCCTAGGAGCAGCTGAAAACTTAAGATGTGTTTAAGATGGTTGCCTGGAGATCCCCTCTCCTATTCCCCACCACCACCTTGTGCCATCAAAAAACCACTACGTCTGAAACCTATGCCCTATGGCTGACGATCCTCCAGGAAAAATGCTTTGACTGAAGGAAATGTGCAGGATCACAGCTCTTCAACAAGCCTGTGCAGATCACGAGTCTCAGCCACGTGCTGATGGGCTTGTCCTGGAGGAAAAAACTGGACTAGGGTACAGCCAGTATTTGGGAGTGGTACCTTCGAAGGTGTGCTGATCTATGATGAGCAGGTTGTGCACCTCCACCTCCTCTCCAAAGGACGTCTCATGCGGTGCCGTGCTGCTGGAGAACAGCTTGCTGGTGCTCACGCTGCTGGACAGGGCCTAGGACACAGTAATATCGGTCACATCCTTGTGCTACTCGCCATGTCCTCACGCTACTCCACACAGGCTGAGGCAACCGGGAACCAGAGGAATGAATGGGAGAGAAGGTGAAGCAAGGAACTCCCTGGACCTGAGTAAAGGGACACACTGCCTGCACCAGCAGAGATGTGTGACGTGCATGGCAGAGGTAGCGCTGCTGAGCAACAGCATTAAAAGAAGAGTTTATGCAGTGTTGTGGCTTCCACCAGAGCTACTGCCCGAAGGAGGCTTGTGCCTCCATCCCTGGGAGAAGGAGACCACTTGAGACCGAACAGAAGCCTGTACGGGAGACTGAAGGAGCAGCACCCAAAACCAAAGGTGATCCGACAGAACAGTGAGCGTGCCAAGGCTGCCGGAGAGCAGCACAGAGCGCCCTTCTCACCACCATGGAGATCTTACCACCCCATCTCCTCCCAGGCTGCCAAAGGGAGAGCTTGCACTCAGAGCTTTGGAAGAGAAGATTGTGAAGGAAAATCTGCATCACGGTTTAGCCTGAGGAACTATGATACCCATAGCCCAGAGCTCAGGGACGATCTAGCCTCTACCCCTCACCTGGGTGCTGGCGCTGGGTCTGAGTGCAGTGGTGCCCCCACTGGCATCCTGCACCTCGATACGACTTGAAAGCACGCCGAAACACTGCGATACCTCTTGGTAGCAGATTTTCCTGCAGGACAAACAGAGCTGTGTGGGCAGGAGCGCCAGGACAGGCCACTCCAAGGAGAGCACAGAGGCTCTGGAGACAAGAGGCAGAGCTGCTTGCTTGCCCAGGCTGCTCTCAGCACAAGCCCCCAATTCAGTCTGTGTGCTGAGCCCACAGCAGGAACGTTGACTGCAAAGTCTCCCCCACAACCTTGTCCCATGCAGCAGGGGCACGGGCCTTCAAGCCAGGTTCCCTCCCACTGCTCAGCTCACCTGGGCGATTCGTAGAGGGGAACCGTGCGGATGTGCAGCTTTTGGATCTCATCAATGGTGCCGATTGTCAGGGTGCTGTTATTGGCCAACGCCAAGCTGTACGGGGGAAAAAGAAAACCAAACACGTGAGCAACGGTGCTTATAAGGTGGGTGGCACAGCAAGAACCTCCCTCTCCTCCATACCCCTCAAAACCACTGGTCCCAGGATCCCATTGCAAGTCCAAAACCTCCCTCACCCCGTGTCGCACAAGGCAAGGTGCGGGCTCACCTGTCGGGATACCCATCCGAATTGAGGGGACACATGTAGTTCACCTCCTTCAGGTTGACATTGGAGAAGACCAGCTTGTGGTTACTGCTGTAGATGACAGTGGGGCGGTCAGAGCAGGCAAACACGTTGGTGGTGGACAGAGAGCGGAAAGTCCTCAGGACGGTGGGCTGGGTCCCAAGGGTCACCTTCTTCCGGTCACTCAGCAAGCCTGCGGAAAAGGAGCACCGGTGTTGGGAGCTGCCGCAACGGAGCTCGCAAGAGCAGGATGGCAGAGTGCAACGCGGCTGCAACGCCTTGGGAAGAAATGAGTGCAGGTAAATGCACCCTGCTGTCAGCACAGGGCAGCAAAGGAACGGATATAAGCGTCGATCTCCTTTCTCCAGAGTCCGCTGGAGAAATCCACCAACTCCCAGTGCCCACAGCCAGCCCCACCTTGAGCATGACCCCGTCACGGTAAGAAAGCAAGAAAAAAAGGAGGAAAGAAAGCATGTCAAGCAAGTTAAGAGGGCACGGGTCCAGCAGCCCGCTCAGGGCTATGCCCTGTAGTCACCTGTCTCAAGGCTGAGCCCGAAGTAGAAGAGAGCTCCGTCCCCGAGGGCACACAGAAGGTAATGGCTGCTCTCGAAGGTCGTCATGAGGATGGAGCGAGGGATAATTTCTGCAGGGAGCGGGAGAAGAGAAGGCTGATGTCACTCACGCCTCAGCCAGGTCAGCGGCCGCTGCCACCACCCAGCAGCCCCAGGAGAGCCCTACCTCCTCCCAGCATCTCTTTGTGCAGCAGTTCAAACGAAGGCAGCTTTAGGATGCGGGCAGAGATGTCAGTCCAGAGCCCGATTGCACACAGTGGGGACATGCCGTTAGTGTCCCCCAAAGGGGTGATGTCCAGGCAGGCAACTTCATGCTCCATTTCTGTGCAGCTGGCAGGAATGAGGAAGCAGACAGAGGTGTCAGTCTTGAGTCCAAAGACAGACAGACAGCAGAGGCTGAGAGCCCTTGGGCCAGGACGAGAGACGTGCACCCACCTGATCTGCCTGAGCTCCTGGGGTCGGATCTCCAGGTAGTACAGGGCTCGTCCCACAGCCACCACTACCTGGTTGCTGTTACAGGAAGCCACGCTGATGTTCTTTCCATTAGGCTCTTTCCACTCACTCACCAGGGCTTTGGGCTCCTGACTAACCAGTCTCACAGAGGCAGAGGTGATCTGGGGAGAGAGAGAATGCTTGTGCTCAGAGCCAGACCACCGCCTCCCTTCCTGACATCGGCCCAGGGAAGTACTGCAAACCCTGCCCCTGATAAGCAGCACAGATCTAGGTTAGCCCCACAATCAGTAAGGGCTGTAGGGTCACCATGAGAGACATATCTCTACATTCTCCTAAAAATGCCATTACCTGGATCAGTTGCTGATGTGCCACATTGCCACAGAAGAAGGTCTGCTGATCATCCACAAACCCTGTGAGCTCCGTCTCTTCTACTTCCTCTCCATTTAACATAAGAACCCTGAGCAGGAAAGGAAATTCCTGTTATATCACGATCCAACGCGTGGCCGAGAGCCTGGCTCAGCATTAACCCCACTTTACCTGGTCTGTCCAACAAAGGACAGCACCAACGTGTTGTCCGTTTCACGATGAGAGTCTGACCTCAGGGGCCACAAGCCTGCAAGAAAGAGAGGCCACATTTGCTCACAGTCAATATTCCAAAAACCGGTGGGTGGCAAGCCCCCTGCCCCACACCCCAACCTCAGTGTGTGCACAGGACGGGTCCCCAGCGGGCCCCCTCAGGCTGCGGGTTATATGTGACAGCACCAAAGAGCTCACACACCTTTAATCCCTGGCAAGTCAATGCTGGCGTGCTCATGAATCCCAATGCCGTTCCGGATGATCCGCAGCGAACCCTCTTTAAACGCACCCGAGCATGTGACCAGCTGAAGGAAAAGCAGATGACCTTTACCAACCACTTCTGGGAAGCTTCCCCACTTCTCGTAGCGATCGGTTCAGGGGAAGATGGGGTACCCATCTTCTCCACTTCTCAGAGGAAGTTTTTTTGGCAGCTGATCCTTCCCCATTGCATGAAAGCAACCCCTTCCTCATGGACAGGGGTATCCAAGAATTAGCCTCTCCACTCACACCACTTTTCAGTGTAAGACTTCAGTACCATCCCTGCACTTGGATAAGACTGAGATCCACCAATGAATGGTTTGTACTTTTCTCTCCATGGAGAACCCACGCATACATCTGGCCGGCCCAGACATCCCCAGCACTAAGAAAAACAGAATCAACGTTACCTGCCCTTGGCCTTGTCTTTCCAGGTCTACCACACACATGTCGACGATGGGACCGAGGTTGGTGAAGGTCTCCATAGCCACTACGTAGGAGCCCTGCTCGTTGCTGTCCACGTTGAGCTATGAATAGACACAATCATTGGCTTTCAACAAGCAAGACCAAGCAAGTGAAAAGGGCGTAGGACAGACAAGAAAGGAAAATTTATCCACATACACCTCTCGAGGCCATGATGAAAATAAATACATACAAAATCCTGTCTGAACACGCAACTAAGCCAGAAGACAGCTGCCACGTACCTTCACAAGCTGGGAATCCCCAAGCCGAGAACCGACAAACACAACTCCATTGTCCAGGTAGGTCAAGCACTCTGCAATGGACGTCTGGGAATTGAGAAGACGCAGATGAAACACCACCAGCATGAAAAGGACCTGCCCCACACACTGCATCTGAGCTGCAGCCCAACAGGGAGACCCTGGACACAGGATAGGAATTTAATCCCTTTACAAAACCCACAGAGAGTCCAAACTTCTCCTGGGAACAGCGCACAAGCACTAGGCAAAAATCTGGGAAGATGGCGTAAACTTTCAAGTGCTCAGATAGGGAATTTCCGAGCAATTGACAGTTCAGAGCCATGACAACTGTGAAATTTCACCCCACCCCAGGCTCCAAAAGAGACACCGTTGCTGCCACTCAGCCCTCAGCAGAGCATTTCCAGCCTGCAGAACCTCCCAGCCCTGCGGTGAGAAGCGAGAGGGACAGCACACGCGATGTGGCTGAGTCCTACCTCGCCGAGCAGTTCCACGCGCAGGTCCTTCAAGGTGACAGTGCCGTCCATCTGTTCCTCCTTCTCCAGAAGCAGCATGAAGAGGCGTCCTTCCATGTCCCCCAGCAAGTAACGGGACCCATTGGGATCCACACGGTTGTGGCACACGATCGTACTTTGCTGCACGCAAAGGAGGAGGGAATTTTTAGGAACCCGGTGAAACAGCCTCAAACGGGCACCTAGCAAGGACCATCTCTGTACACGCCAGAAGGGAACAGCCACATCCAGAGTGCACCAGCTGCTGGCTGTAACCACAGCACAGCCCCACTCCTCCGCTGAAGAGGGAGAGGGCTGGATTTGCCCTTCAATAAACTGTACCAGCGAACACAACCAGAATCTGTGGTCAAACGGTCTCGCTTTCAGTCACTAGGAACCACCTCACGTTCCTAAACTAAACATGTCGCTAGCTTGTTCACAGCTCAAGAAATATGCCATCAGAAAGCCTGTTTTCCTAACGCTGGGCCTTCCACACATGCAGGGATGCTATTTGGGACCTGCAGCAGGCTTGGAGCTCTGCATCTCCAGACCCAAGCTCTGCAGACGTTTTGCTCTGTTGGTGGATGCTGCCTGGCCGCCTGTCAACATATTTGGTTTTGGTTTAAAAAACCTGATCTTGCAGATCTTTATTGTATGCAAACATCCCACTGGCCTTGAGTACAGATGTGCCTGCACTCTGCTTGCAGGTCAAAGCCCAGATCTGTATGTCAGCAGAGTGCAGGCAACTCGCTCCGCCCGCTCCACTATAACCAACTCCGCATCACGGAGCCTCAGCAGCGGTCCAAGAGCCTGTAGGCATTCAGGCAACAATATTAGTATCTCTTTACCCAAGATTTACAGCTCTTTTCTAGCCCGTCATTATTTCCAGCTTAAAAGGACCTTTTGATCATAGCTCAAGCCCTCTTTCAGCCCCGAGCAGCACCTCAGCCATGCCATTTGTGCTTCCTGCACCATTTACATGCGGGAAATGGCCTGTCCCTCTGACAAAAACCACAAGCTCAACTTCTGTCACAAACTCTGTAAGTCTTTTTTTTCCTTTGAACAAGTGCCCCAATCATACACCAGTGGACTCAAGTCTCTAAGGAGTTCATTCATATCTTTTGCTGCCTGAAATGAAAGCAGGCTCTGGCCTGGACCCAAACCACACACTACCTCCTAATTAATCCCTTTCTCTGGGGCCCAAACAAGATTTCAGCTTTACTGCACCATTTGGGAGCACTCCACGGAGAGCAGAGCCACACACCACAGTGCAAGCATAGACGCTGCCACCGGTACAAGGATCACATACGTCCCTCGGTCCCCAAAAACACAGACCAGGCGTCGTGTGAAACACCCATGCTCGCCGAAGCTCTGGGAGTCAGTGATGCTATTAGGCTACACCTGGAGACAAGAGCAGCTTAAGTTCTTGACTACAAGTAGCCCGATACCCTACTAGCACTCTGAAATGCCTGGGAACGGAGGAACTATACAGGACGCATTTCTAGATCTCAGCAGTCACTCACCTTGATGATAGGTGGAGCTATAGCTAGGTATTTATCTCCGTTGTGATAGGTGATAGACTCCTGCCCAATGATGATCGCGCCTCCAAAAGGCTCTGGCACTGTGCAGGGGAGAAGACAAATGTCTTATTAGAGAACCTGTGCGGCATGACTGAGGCATTCAGCCTTGAGAAAGAACCGGGAGGGAAGATCTTTTACAAAGAAGGACCAACCTGCGATGACCATGGAGGCTTCAGCCTCTACGTTCTCCTGTTTCCAAGGACCTTTGTTAAACTCCTTCTCGCGCAGGGACACCTCGTACGTCTTGACGTGGCGACCCTGAGGGTCCTGAAAGAGAAGCCACAAATGACGACATACGCTGACGACAGCCTCACGTGCACAGCAACGGAGGCTCCCAAAGCAGAGCTGACTGGCAACCTGTGAAGCAAGGAGACTCCGCCTCATCTCCTGCAAGCACCAGCGAGCTGCTGAGGCTTCCCACCCTGCCCACGTCCTCTTCAGACTCCCCCAAACCGCACATGTGTCTGAACATACACACGCTAATGTTCTCCCTAACTTTATCCATATGTTGAACGACCTTTGAATAAATCCCTGTGCCAAAAACAGACTGAAAACTATTTTTGCATTTTTATACAAGTGAGTTTCTGGGACTCGTATGCATCTGACGCACAGCTCTACAAATCTGGGCATGAGTGGCAGCACGCAATATCGCCACCGCCTCCAGCTCCAGCAAGGCATTCAGGAATTCAGCTCTGCTGTAGCGGCGCAGGTGCCAGAGCAGCTGAGCTCCCATCTCGATGCTCCTCAGGCCTTTCAGCCTGGTTTCCTGCAGAAATGTAATCTGCTTGCCGAATAATCCCCTGACTGCTCTGCCATTCCAGCAATTCCTAGCCCAGTGGGCAATTTCAACCAAACCCGACGCACACAGAGGTCTCCGAAGCAACGAGTCCATGCAGGCTTTACTGAAATATGCGGTGGGTGGAGAAGAGACCCTCAAATCAGCACCCCGCTACAGGAAAATCGGTCTAAGCTAACAAGCGCTTGGGAACCCACGTGGGGAAAAGACGTATGAGCACCCAAAGCACAGAGAGGGCTTTGAACACAACCCCCTGACCAATTTCATGTCTCAAAAGCTAAGACCAGGCTCTAAATCACAGAGAGCCAGGTTTCTTTAGTCACATCGTTCATAGAACTACTTAAAAAGAGCTGTTCATCTTTTTATTTATTATGCCTTGCCACTTTCCAGACCTGAGTAAAAGCGTTTGGGTTTTTTTTTTTTTTTCCCCTCCCTGTAGCCATCAGCTCTGTAAACAAACACTCGCAGGAAAGCTGGGCACCTCCTGGCTCACCCCTCACAGCCTCTGCCGCTTGGCAAACGTCCTCACTGACGGCGCTCCGGAGCCCGAGGTCCTGGCGAAAGCCAGCGGTGCAGCACCAAGGGAAGCAAAGAGCAGTACTGGCTGACAGAGGAGGGGAAGCCAGGAGGAGAAATAGCTCCGTGGGGAGGAGAAAGTTGAAGTGGGGTTGTTAAAACGGCAGAGGAGTCATTAATGAAACTTTTGACGTTTCTGAACCTTTTTGCTCCACACCACAGCAGCTCTCGAGCGGTTTTTTTATTTTTATGAACTTCCCCTTTTTGTGGTATCTTCCTCCAGTTTCAGAACGACACAAAAATTATCTCAGACGCTGCTATTCTATTCAGCCCAAATCCTATGATAATGATTAATAAATTGAGAAGGAATCAAAGCAGCAACTTGGAAACGTTCCCCTCTCCACACACACGCAAGTCAGACACCCAGGGACCAAAACAAAGCCAGAGTTTTATGTAAGGCCTAATGAGTCAGACAGAATTTGCCTCTCACTCCTGCTGCAAGGATAAAATTCGTATTAAGAGTGTTAGACACAGAGCAAGCTATCAATTTACTCTTTATTCATACAATACCGGTTTATAACGAATGAACTATTGACAGATTTGCTCTGATTTAAGCTGTAAAGATGCCAGATCTCCAGATAAGAACCTTTTTTACTTGCTGACTACACAGGGTGACCGAGTTCCTCCTTTACGATGCTCTTGAGCCCCGAGTGGAAACTGTCCAGACCCTGACACCGAGTGTAAGAATTTGTCCAAATCACCATCCCTCTCTGCCTCAGTTTCCCCAGCACGCAAGAGCAACGGTACTAATCACACTCACGAATACACTCAGCGCTTTTCAGGGCAGCACACTGCCACTGCTTAGGCTTCCTAGCTTTGGGGAAGTCACCCAGGCAGCGAGTCAGACCCGGTAATACACAACAAGCCAGCCACCTTCAGTTGTATTTCTAGAGCAAAGACTGGCTACAAGCTTCCCTTCTGACACCAGGTTTCAAAGTCAGTGCAGCTGCATGGGATAAAAACGTGGTCCCCCACGTATACTCCCCAGTCATACAGAAACAAGATGGCTGCGCGTTGTGAAAGCGTGCATGACACAGCCCCCCAGGTCAGGCTCCGCTCTGTCGTACAAGGGATCATGACTCCCTTCTCCCCGAAATCGGAGAAAAGAACGGCAGTGCTTTTTGTAAGAAACCAGCGCTTAATTCCTACGCATTAGCAATAGCTGAAAATCCTTTGCTTTTTCAGGTAGAGCCTCTTAATCAACCCCCTCCCTGTTTTCTTCCTTTTTTGTGCATACCGTTGGTTAAATCGCCACGCGAGTGCCTGCAAGGCGAGCGTGACACGTGACAGCCGGGGACAACTTCCCACCAAGGCTGAAGCGAGCACGCTAACGTTTGTTCAGGTGCCAAGGGAGAGCACCAGCTACCTACAGGGCAGGGGAAGAGCACCGTCCTGACACGAGGGACCTGGGCTGCCCTCCCAACCCCAAGTTACCTGGTGACAAAGTGATTTCTGCCCGTGCCTTTACTCGGTAACTGTTAGGCGGCATTCAACAGCACCCAGATAGGAAATAATCAAGTCACTGCTGCCACGTGGTTAGTAGTTCTTACGGCATGAGTTTGCCACTAAGAACTATGCCGAAGGTGAACTAAATTCACAGCAGATCCTATGTGCCACCGTCCCAGGAACTTTCAGCTAGGCCCAGGCTAGCCCGGAATTTGACAAAGCCAAGATAATCCCTCGCCCAGTCAGCACAGCAAAGGCTCTTTGGTTCAAAATAAGCATTTGGAGAAAGGCCTACGAACACTGCCTCTGTGAGGACCCAGGTGACAGGAGAGGTTATGGCCTCTCTTTAGACTCCTGGAGTGGCCTCCCAAATACCAAACGAGACATACTGCTTTTTTTTTAAGGGGAAGGCTCAGGTGTCACAGCAGTGCCTATAGAAAACAACTGACTCTGGCTCTAAGCCACCTGCTCAGCACCCACTGGAAAGACCCATGTGCTGCTCCTGCGTTTTTAAACCGTCCCATCCAAAGCATCAGCCGCCCAGCTCTTCTGTGGGAGAGCATGGCTTCCTCTCTCCCAGAAATGGACAAAAAAGCAGCACAGAGGAACACGGACTTTCCTCAGGTACACAATCATAGAATCCTAGAATCATTGAGGTTGGAAAAGACCTTTTAAGATCATCCAGTCCAACCATTAACCTAACACTGCCAAGTCCAACACTAAACCAATTTAAGGCAGAGTAGCAATTTCATGTTTCCTGGCTTGCTGGCTGCATTATTTATAATGAAAGTCAAACTAGGAATCACTAAGGTCGGAAAGGACCTCTAAGATCATCAGGCCAACCATCAACCCAACACCCCCATGCCCACTAAACCATGGCCCAAAGTGCCACGTCTGCCCATTTTTTGAACACCTCCAGGGATGGGGACTTCACCACTTCTCTGGGCAGCCTCTTCCAATGCTTGACTACCCTTTCCGTCAAGAAATTTTTCCTAATATCCAATCTAAACCTCCCCTGGCACAGCTTGAGCCCATTTCCTCTCATCCTATCACTTGTTACTTGGGAGAAGAGCCCAACACCCCTGCCCACTCCTGTCAGGAGCTGCAGAGTGATGAGGTCTCCCCTCAGCCTCCTCTTCTCCAGGCTAAACACCCACAGCTCCCTCAGCCGCTCCCCACCAGCCCTGTGCTCCAGACCCTTCCCCAGCTCCGTTGCCCTTCTCTGGACACGCTCCAGCACCTCAATGTCCTTCTTGTACTAAGGGGCCCAAAACTGGACACAATGAGCCTGCAGGAGCCAGAACCGTCTCTCGCTCTGCCCAAAGCGCTGCTTTCCATTGGCTCTGGGACACTGCTGCTGCTCCAAGCCCTTTGGAAGACCTTTAGGGACCTTGGCTGGTGCACCGGCAATCTCCAGCACCCTCCACCTGAGTCACCACTCGAGAACAAGGTACCTGGTAGACGAAGCAGATGGTCGGAGCCTGACAGCCATAGAGAAACTTCACATCGATGACTTGGAGCTCTTCCAGGCGGATGTTAAAAGCCTTTAACTCCTTGTTCTCCCGGTCCAGGGGAATGACCTTGAAGAGGCCATCATAGAGCCGCAGGCCAATCATCCGGCATTCTGGGTCAATGATGCCAATTATGCCAGTCTCTGAGGGACGACCGATGCGATCCTGAGCGAGAGATCCGTGGGGAGGGGAAAGAGAAAGGGCAATTAGCATTAGAAAGAGATCCCCGCGTGGGACTTGAGAGTAGTAGGTACAAGAGTTACCACCCTATGGCTGAGGAAGGGCTCCCTGCACACTTCCTAGCAGGCTTTAAAATGCCATCTGGCAAGCCAAAGGCAATTCAGGCATTTCCTGCCTAAAGCAGGAGGTTCTTTCCACCCAAAAGCCTGGCAGAACCTCTATAGCACACACTTTCTCTTTCCCAGGAACGAGACGCTCCAGGAGCGGACCCTGCAACTGGTTTTCTACCCCAAGTCTCTACTGAACGACCTCAGCAAAGCCACATCGCTGTCCTGCATCTCTGCTTTCTATTGCTGACAAAGAACAATGCTCTCCACTGCTGTGAAGTGAGCGCTTTGATATCCATGACCAAAACCCACCCTTCAGGAATCCAGCCCCGTTATCGGCCTCCGCAGACCCCTCAGCGTTACTTGGCGGGGGCTGATATCAGCGTCTCCGTATGACACGAGGCAGAACCGTGGCACGGGAAGATTAAGCACTTTTCCCGAAGCACATGAACATGTAACCGACAGGACACGCGCACTTACAGCTCCTGCCCGTAACCCCCTGCTCAGCTCCACCAACAGTAAGTCAGCGGAAGCTCAGCGCCTGGAAACAGACGGAAGATATTTTGGCTTGACAGGCGATGGAAATCATTTGGCTAATAACTAACAAAAAGCCAAAGAGACATGGGGATTTCTGACCTGCTCAGAAGGTGCGATTTTAATCCACAGAAAACAGAACAATGAAAAACATCTACAATTACTAAGAATGTTATATGGCCGTGATGGCATGAGTAACTTTGGCACCCGTGCTTCTGGTACGCAGCGTGTAAAGACTGGCCATGAAATACCGGAGGAGTCATTTCCCAGGGAAAATTCTACCTTACATTGAGTTTTGAGCACTAATTCTCAGTAGGAATATCTCAAATTAACCTTAGTATTCTGCAAACCACCCCGAGAACACAGTTGTAGCCACATCACCAGTCCCTGAGCCCAAGACTGACTCACGGCAGGCAAAAATTTCTGGAAATACCAGTGGCAGCAGGTGAACCATACCAGAGTCGGTGGTAGGCAAAGAATCATAAATAACAAGGCAGAAACCCATCAGCTACACACACCCTCGTCACTGGCGAAGCAAAACCATCCCTAAGGAAGGGAATTCACCATTTCCAGGCGCTGCAGCTTCACTCACCTGCACGTTACCATGGGCACGGGTTATAATATCGATGCTGTCCCCGTTCTGCTTGTACTCGAGGATGCAGGCGTTATACTTGGCCGTCAGGATGAACAACAAATCCTTGCTCTCTCCCTGCGAAAGCAAAGCGGAGGCGTGCCTTCAGGAGGGTGTCAAGAGCCAGCGGCCCCAGCGCGCCCGTGCCTGCCCTCCTCCCCAGCGGGCAGGCAGCCCCCATCCCCACAGCGCACCCACCTTGGGGCGGAAAAGCTCCATGACGGCGGTCTTGCCGTACATCCCCACCTCCTTGACGGGCCGCAGCCCCTCCGCTGTCACCACATAGATCTCCAGTCGCGTATTCTTGGCGATCAGCAAGTTCAAATCCTCCGCCGAGGTGAAGTGCCCTGGAAAACGGAGAGAAGAGATCACTGTTGAGCTGCGAAGAAATGACGAGGCTGCACCCTGGGGTGCTCTCACTGAGCAACGTGCAGTATTTTGCAGATCCTGGGAAGTCTGGTCCGCACCCTCACAGCTGCAGACCAAGCACCAGCCGCCCTGCAGCAGCCCCCCGCAAGCTGTGGCACCCCAAAACCCCAGCACCTTCCTCCCACACCACCTGGACCCCTCAGCAACTGCCTCCCCTGAGCTCTGACTTCCATCTTTCCCCAGGAAACCTCATTCCCGGGGGCCCTTTCCACCACGCCCCCTCTCCAGAGTACACTGCGACACCCCAAAACACCTCGCAGTAAGGCAAAACGCAGAGACAGCCATCATTATCACCTCTTCCTGCGGCACCCCAATCCTCTGCTGCTCTCTAACCCCCCCCGGAACCCCACTCCAC